TTTTGCTATAGGGCGCATGCACTCGCCAGAAAGACAGAGAGAGACAGAGAGATAGAAAGCGAGAAATCACCCCCCAGGGGGATGGCCATGCTGCAATCCCTTCTCCTCCTTTCTCCTCTCGGGATCTTGGGCATGCATGCACATGCACCCAGTGTGAGTTTAAGCCACTGGGTCTGGAACTTGAACCGTGGTCAACTACATGGGAGTCCAGGAACATAGCCATTAGCTAACTGCTGGTCTCTCCCCTTCATATTTAAAAGCTACCTTTACAAAATTACTTAGTTAATGTAACTGCTACTTTAAGGGGCATTAATGATGAAATTAAAAAAAAATAATTATTTTACTTAAATTTTTTTATTTATTTATTTTTTAATTTGACAAGAGAGGGACAGAGTGAGAGAAAGAGAGAGAGGGAAAGTGAGAAAGCAAGCTGCCAGGTCTGGGACTCAGTCCTCAGTTGGCCACATGGGAGTCCAGTGCCCTTAACCACCATACTGCCCACCAGCCCCAATGACAAACTTTATATTCGTGAAAAAATAGTAAAATTGTGTTCTATTTCAAATCAAAATCTGAAGAATATGCTTTATAGTTTGAATCCTGAATGGGGTATACTCATCACCTAATTTGTATAATAAATCTGCAAATCTAAAAATTAAGTTTCTTTATTTTTCTCTTTTAAAGATTCTTTGCCACAGGGCATGTGTACTTGCTATACAGAGAGACAGAGGGAAAATGAGAAACCACCCCCTAGGGGGTATGACTACTCCACAATCCCTTCTTCTCCATTTTCTTCTTAAGATTTTTGGCACACATGCACATGCACCAGGAATGATTTTTCAAGTCACTGGGTTTGGGACTCCCACCATGGTTGGTCATGTAGGAGTCCAGAGCCTTAACCACTATCCCCTGCTGGTCCTAAATTTATTTCTTCTATGAGCCAGAAAGACAAAGACAGAGCATCCCTAGTAGGGTACCAATACCATGATCTACCCTAGCCTTAAGCCAAACCTGGATAATAGACAAGCATGTGTCCAGCATACTCAGGGAAGTCTCCAGGCTTGAACTGGGAACCTTGTCATGTGGGTTTGCCTCGCAAAGTGTCACATTTCGCCACTGAGCCACTATCTGGCCCAGCCATTCTAAAATTTTAAAGGGATATCCAATGTCACAACCATAAAAAGGATCAAGCACCAATCAGACCAGAGTTCCATATCTTCCTACTCTTCCTTCCAAATAAGATACCTTACTAGTGTTCAGCGGAGCCAACCCCACTTTCGTGAGTCTTTTCCTCAGAAAAAAATTCACTAAGCATTTCTATAGTAGGCAAAATATCCATATTTATGCATTATTATTTTATCTTTATAATGTTTTCAAGATTACTAGGCACCCTCTTTGACCTCCCAGGTGTCAAGAAAGCCCCTAAGGCTGAGAAAGCGTAAGATACCTTCAAGGTCTCCTACTGTGACAGATGGAGATTCAGTTACTTGGCTTCATTTGGACACATTTGCCAGAAGAGACATCAATCTATTTCCCATATCTGCTGCTTGGGAAAGGATCAATTGGGCAATACCCATTAATCTAGCTAAGGTGTACCCAAAGATAAAGGAAACAGACTTTAATTAGGCTTTGAAGGAAGAAACACAAAGTTAAAATTTTATACTCAGTCTTTGAAATTGTGATATCCTTAATAATCAGTGTTTTTTACTGACATACTAGAAGACCAACACTCTTATTTATTCAATCAATGTCCGGTGAACATTTATCATAATTAAAACTCTGGTGTACTTTTTAATTTAAAAAGAAAAGTTTAAAGAGCAAACCTGATGGCATCCAAGGGTCAGAAGTTGGTTTGGTCAAGGTGTTCACTTGCTCCCAATTGAAATCATCCTCATCAGCTTGACTGTATCCACATGTGCTATATGGCTCATCAAAGAGACAACCACCTAAAATGTAAAAGAATAAAAAATAATGTAAACGATCACCAGACCTCTGGAATGAGCTATGATTATTGCAGGAAACTGTACACCTACTCAAAGCCAAATTAAATTTTTTAAAGTTTGTTTATTCCTTCAGAGAGTGAATAAGAAGGAAGAAAGCAAGGGTTGAAGTACCCCTAGACAGGGTCTTTATGCTGTGGTCTACATCTAGTGTGAGCCAGCCAGGACCTCAGGCAGGTGCACATGCTCAGCATGCCCAAGAAGGTCCCAGGTCACAAACCCAGAACCTTTTCCATGTGGGTCCAGTTATTCTACCACTGTGCCATGACTTGGCCCTCCAAACTAAACTTGATTTTTACCTTTTTGCTCAGGGATTATAGACCTGATCCTTATTGTATCCTTGCTAAATGCTGCTGAGTATTAACTATATTTTGTTGCTCTCCAAAGGGAACCTAATGTTGATAGAAGCCAAATGACAGTATAACACAAGCAAATTTAAAATTCACATTTTTAATATGCTTATTAGGAACTTGAAAAATGATCTACTATTCAAAATGCTAACAGAAATGCTTAAGTGTTCAATGTGTGTTCAATATAAAAAAGTTACCAGACCAGCTCCATGGCCTGGTAGTAAAGGCAGCCAGAACCCACATAGTTGACTACATGGTTTGGATTTTGGATTCAGCAGCTTGAGGAATATGCCAGGCATGTGTGCATGGATGCCCAATATCACTTAAGGAGAAAGAGATGCAGGAGAGGAGATTGTGGCACGTCCATCCACCATGAGGGTTGATTTTCCTCTCCTTCTATGTCTCTCCCTGGTGAGTGCATGCACCTTCTAGTGTGCACATGCATGTGCAGGTGCACACACACACACACACACACAATTACAGTTTGTACCAAAAAAATAAAAGAAATGCTTTCAGCACAACACTGGCTCAGTTGTAGAGGAAAAGATACAAGAAGACATCAACAAGTTTATGGAAAATGAAATTCAAATGAGTTTATTTTGATGCAAAAAAATTCAAAATCCATTCCTAATTTTTCTATAATATGAATTTTGTGTGAACTTTTTGAAGATCTTTTGCTATAGTTTAGATAATGATTTGTCTCCCAAGGATTCTTACATTATAATTTGGTCCCTAATGTAATGGCATTGGAAGGTGCTGAACATTTAAGAGAAACATCTGCCTTCAATGTGGGTGAGCACCATTCAGTCAACTGGGAATATGAGAAGGACAAACAGAGAAAGTGGGAAAGTCTGTTTCTTCTTATTCACTCTCTCAACATGTCTGTTTTATTTTTCTCTGTTTCTGTTGGTCATAGTGCAACACTGCACTGAAGGCCAGCCTCATGCCAGTGTCATGTTTTGAACCTTCCAGCCACCAGAACTGTGAGTAAAATAAAACTCTAGTATTTATAAATTACCTAGTCTTAAGTATCTCTGTTTAACAACACTATAACCAACTAATATATATCTTGTACAAACTATGGACATAGCTTGCAATATATTTTTCAGAGTTATTTTACAAACAGGTTTCACCTTTACACATTGAAGATTAGAGGGCTCAAAATTAAAAGACATTAAAAATTCACTTAGAGTCCATGTACGTTTTAATGCAAAAATAAATTCAAGACTAAACATGTGAGAAACATCTGCTTAATGTTAGTACTGGAAAAAAAACTACTTAAATAAAGAATAATAGAAAATGCAGCACTATACACAGCAATTCAGCTGTTTCAGAATCAATAGCATCTTGATGATTCTAAATTCAACTTCACATCTTCTTAAATGCCCCGTTACTTTGAATTATTATAGATCAGATCTTTTCCCAAATATTTCATATGGAGCAAGCAGGTGATTGTACTGATTAATTTTTATGAAAGTTCTGTGATCCATTAGACAATGTTATTATTATATTCATTCTAAATATTAATTATTACTGTCTGCCAATAATGACAAGAGTTCAGGTCATGAAAACATGAATTTAAGATCATGTTACAGTATTTCTGTAATGTACACCCTAATGGCAAGAAAATAAGTAAAACAGCCATTGTTCAATCTCAGAGGGAAACAGATGTTAGAGTTGACCTGATCCAACTTTTACTCAAATTCTTTTCTATTCTACAACATGACAGACATATAGATAGCCTCTGAATAGATGAGGCACTCTGAATTTTGTAAAGCATCCCCACCATGTACAATAGAACCCCCATCCCCCACCCTTAAAAAGTCCCAAATTCAGGACCAGCAGGTACATGTTGATTAAGGCACTGAACTCCCACATGGCCCATCACAGTTCAAGTTCTACACCCATCAGCTTAAAACTCACATGGGGCATGTGTGTATGCATGCCCAAATCCCAGGAAGAGAATGGAGGAGAAGGGATTGCAGCATGGCCAATCCCAATGAGGGGTGACTTCTCACTTTCCCTCTCACTATCTTGTTCTGTCTCTTCAGCAAGCACATGTATCCTATGGCAAAAACCTTAAAAAAAAAAAAAAAAAAAAAGTCCCAAACTCGCCTGCTTGAAATGTATGCCCATTCATCTTAGCTCTGTCTTGTAAATAGTACAAATTCTTGGGGACAGCAAGTGGCATGGTAGTTAAGGACACTGGACTCCCACGTGGCTGACCATAGTTCAAATCCCAGACCCAGAGGTTTGCCTTCTCACTTTCTCTTTCCTCTCTCCCCCTCTGGTCAAATTAAAAAGAAAGAAAGAAAAGAGAAGACAAGAGAGGAGAAGAGAAAAAAAAAGAAAAGGAAGAAAGAAAAGAAAGATCAATAAAATAATTTTAATAAAATAGTACAAATTCTCAGTTTTTACACAGGAAAACTAATAACTTGAAAAGAGCTGTCATGTTCTAAGTCTCCACTTCTCTGGCAAAACTTATGCTTTACTCCCCTCAATTCCTCCTACTAGAAAGCATTCAGATTCTTCATTTTAGGAGGTGGTCTCCAAACCCTCCTCCAAAAGAATGACACCTGGTACTGGAACCAGAATTAGACTGGCTATTCACTTGACCTCATGCTCTTTTCAAGAGTCCAGGCAGAGTGTCAGTAGATTCTGTACTACTATGACCCTGAAATCCCACATACCGTTCTCACTAAATCAAGCCATTTCTCCTGTTTCATAATAAAGTAAGTGACTTTCTGAATTCAAATACAGGACTTGTCCATCTACCCTTACTAAATCTCACCTTGCTATTTGCAGTCCATCACTCCGGCCTGTAATCTTGACTCTGCCATTCAGTTATTATACCCAGATTGTGTTATCTGCAAATCTGATGAGCATGCGGTCTGTGTCTGCCCCCAATTGCTGATGAGACATGTTAAACAGGACAGAGTCAAGGAACCTTGGATTGCTTTAAACAGTCTCTCCTAGCTTTTGAGCTTTGTCTTAATCATTATATCCAGGCATAACAGTGAAATGAATGGCCCCAGATAGTGTCTTCTGTAACACTTTTATCAGTACTGGTCTCAACTACACATTCCATTGGGAGCAGAACATTCCTTACAGAAGACACAGCTCCCTATTCCACCTTGACAACAATTGACCACTTATTTTTCCCTCTTACTGAGTTTTAGCAAGTTCTAAAATAAAACAGATTCTTTTAAAACACACAATGTAAAGGATCTTCCAAAAGTTCATGGAAAATGCTTATTATAAAAAACTTATGTGTGGATTTCAAAAATGTTCACACCAAAATAAGCTCATACTTTAATTCCACTTTTCCACAAACATTTTTTAAGTCCCTCAATACTAAGAACTTTCCCATGTTAGGTTAAGAAATGTTAGAAGACTATGCAAATATTTAAGAGAAACATTTCCCCTTAGTTGTAAACCCTAATTTTGATGTAGAATATTGCTTTAGTGGCGTCAGAATGAGCCGACAGTGGTGGCACTAATAATACTCAAAGAGAATGAAAGCCCATCAGTTTTGACAGAAAAGAGGTCCCCAGTAGAAACATAGACACACTGTGATAAAAGTCCTGTAGTGTAATCTTAACCAGTGAGAAACAGTGATCGGCACCCACACGACAACTTAAGGCTAGTTAAAGAGTTGGTTTAGAAAACAGCTGCTAGCACTGAAGACAGAACCAAACATAAAGGCAAGAGCAGGCAGGGCTGCTAGTAAACCCCAAAGACTAATACAACGCTGGTGCACGGATATAATTTTCCCATTACATGAAGCTGTTTTTATCACTTGAAAGGAAATATAAAAATACAATATGGTTCTTTCTGGACCCATGTGTGATTATTGAGCCACTGGAAAATGGGATAGACCATGAATTTTCATATTGCCATAGGAAATATACCCCCTGTACACCAATCTTCAGCTCCACTGCTGGCATGCATCTCACAGATGTGGGGCCCTAAAATAGCGAAGGTGGCTTATTAAGCTAAAAGAAGGTGAGATTAAAGTAAATGCCACCAAAATTGAAGTAATCAATTCAAAAGAAGATAATTAAGCTTTTGGTTGTCAGGGCAGCTTTCTAGAGTAGTGAAACATGCAAGTTTTGGTGTCATACCTCAGCGTTAACTTATATAGCAAATATAAATTTACTCTAACAAAGTTAGGCACATTCAACCAGCACCACTTATTAGTCTTAAGTCTTTCTCACCATATCTGCCTTATGCAATCATTGCTCTCAAGAGTTCATTTCATTGTGACTAGATGGAATAAGTAATTGGAAATCAGAAAGTATACATCAGAAGAAGCTGAAAAGTTATGAGTGTTCATGCAGGTGACACTCCTATGGGTGCCTGTTTTAAATAAGACAGTGCAAGAACAGGCAGTTGCTAGGTTTTTCAAGTAACTATCTTGGAGGCCAATGAAGAAATGTGATAAGAAAGCAAAGACCCTTGAAACACACTGAAGCAAAGCATTTCCAAAAATACAGTCTTCACAAGAGTGTGACCAACAATAGATTTCCTAAAGTTCCTCCAGAA